CCAGTGGCGAGCCCCAGGTGCCACGAGCATACCGTCGGAGATCTGGGTCCTGGAGCCCCTCGGGCCCCCCTGAGCCTCGCGAGGGGTGCTCCTGTCGGCGACTCCGAAGGGTGTTGTTTGCAAAGGGTGCGGCTTGCAACCCGCACCCGGGGGGGCGGGCGAGGACCGCGATAGAGTTCTCCGCCGCGCCCCGAGGAGGCCCGAAGAGGGCAACGTGATGACCAACCAATCCCCAACGATGCAGATCGCAGAGAACACAATTGGCCAGAAACCAAACAGCACCACCCCATCTACGATCCAGAGGTGTTGAAAGTTTAGGCGCTGGGCCACCTACGACCCACCTACGACCCAGCGAGGCGTAGGTCGGTGGTGTCGACTTGGTTCTTGCAGGGCGACGACATCTATACATTCCTGCTGCTCCCTGGCCAGGCCCGTCCTGAAATCAGCAGCGGTGTATGCGCCACGCCATCCTGGTTTGGCCAGGAGTGAGTGTACACAGCTCCTGGGTTCAGGATGGGCCTGGCCAGGGAGCAGGGAGGTCGCAGCGACGAGGCGGAAAAGGAGGAGAAGGAGGAGGAGGAGGAGGAGGAGGAGGAGGAGGAGGAGGATGACGACGACGACGAGGGGGAGGAGCAGGAGGAAGGCGAGGGGAGGAGCAGGAGCAGGAGCAGGAGCAGGGGGAGGTGGAGGAGGAGGGGGGGGAGGGGGAGGAGGAGAAGGACGACGACGACGACGAGGAGGTGGAGGAGCAGCAGGAGGAGGAGCAGCAGGAGGAGGAGCAGCAGGAGGAGGAAGAGGAGCATGAAGAGGAGGAGGAGGAAGAGGAGGAGGAGGACGAGGACGAGGAGGAGGACAAGGAGGAGGACGAGGAGGGAGTACAGACTTCATCGCCCCATACTGGTCGACACAACGAGCGCAACCAGACCCTCTGTAGTCGCCGATGCCGGGAGGCCCTCCCCGGGCCTCCCCCTCCTCCTCCTCCTCCTCCTCCTCCTCCTCCTCCTCCTCCTCCTTCTTCCCTCCTCCTCCTCCTCCTCCTCCACCTCCTCCTCCTCCTCCTCCTCCTCCTCCTCCTCCACCTCCTCCGGGGACGCCTTCGGCCAGGAACGCCGCCCGACGCGCGCCGCGCCGGGCCCGTGGGGCGCGCGGGGGGCTCTGCGCCCCGGCCGCCGCCACAACGAGCACGAGCCGCCTCCCCCAGGCAGAGGAGGGCGAAGAAGCGAGGAACCCCCAGAGCCTCCAGTGGGGGGGCGGGGGGGGGAGGGAAACAATACATAAAATACAAAACAAACACACACACACACACACACACACACACACAAACAACAAACAAACAAAAAAAACGCGAATGTTCGAATCAATTTCGGCCTCTGGGCGCCCTCGCCTGGCCCCGGGACCGTCAAACAACGGCTCGGGATGAGGAGCCGGTGCCGGAAGGAGGTCTAGGCCTCTCGGGTTCTACGCTCTGCCAAAACACGAAGTCGGAGTGTTGGGGAGCAAGAGGGATGGACGCGGAATGGACGCCAGGTCGCAGCCCAGGCTCCTCGGTCAGACCAAGCGCCTTCGGAATGCAGAAACAAGCAGAATAGACTGAAATGGCAGCGACCACAATCATGCTGGGCTCGAGGTGTGGACTTTGGCCAGGAGTGGAAATTACAAGGCCCTGCTGTAAGTGCTGGCCCGCTCCAGGATGTCTTTCTGCCCAAACCGAATACGCCACGCGCATCCCAGGTTCCCTGCCTTACTGTATCTCCTCCCGCTATGTTTGCCTACCTCCCTGCCTTCCTGCATCCTTTCTGCACTACTATTCGTCATCATGATGCTCACACCCACCCTTACTCCTCTTGTTCCACATTCACTTCCTCATCCTCCGTGTTTTCCTCATCCTCCTCGTCCTCCTCGTCCTTATCCCTACGCACAAATTGATGCCGAGCATACGCCCGTCACCCGTGTAATCACATAAATGTGATATGCATGTTTGCGTGCCTGCAAGTTTGTGTGTCGATGTACTTGTATGTGCATGGTTCGATGTATATGTATATATAGATATGTGTACAGATGCATGTGCACTGCACATGCATGTGCAAATGCATGTGAGTATACATACATACCTGTATGTTTTAAGTGTATGTGTATGTGTGTATGTATGTAAAGATATATCATGTGTGGATATACATGTATCCTCGATGGGCACGAGTAGCGGCACGATGGGCGGACACAATAGGGGAGGTGACGGTGATGTCTGTTGTTCGGGTGGTGGTTCGGGGGGCCCGGCCCATGCCACTCCCAAGAACTTGATGCACTAGGGTGGCGGGCGGGTTGTTCTGACACGGACGAACGCCTGAACCCAAAAGAAAACAGACGCCAGGAGGTTAAGGAGGATACACTTAGGGGGGAGAGGAGACCCAGAGGTGAGGAGGAGGCTGGGGGCCCCATCGGACGTTGCGAACGTCAGAGGCCCATCCACCTTTTCTCACCCCTCTCCTTGTTCCCGTTTTCGTAGCGCCGTCGCCACTGCTCGCCACTCGCCCGCGTGCACAGGGACAGAGAGGCGCGCTCTCGAAGCCTTGCCCATCTCTCATCGGCCCTCCGCAGCTGAGGCCCATCTCCCGCCCCGAACCCCCGCCCCCGCCCGCTGCGGAAAGATGGGGCCCAAAGGCAGGGCGCCCCCGCCGAAGAGGAGCCCGCCATAAGGCGGGGGCCAAGACGATCCCGGAGACATGCCAGGCAGCCGCTCGGAGCCACTCCCTGCTCGGGAGGCCGTCGACGAACCCCGCACGGGACACGTCTCAAAGCGCGCGGTCGGCAGCCTCCGACTGGGAAAGTATGCTGAACGGACGTCGAGCGGAGCCGCCACCGGCCGCCAGCCACCCCGGCCAGCGACCCCCTCTCCTCGAGGGTGGCCCCGCGGAACGACCCCAAACTTCGTCGGAACTTCGCACCTTCACTATGCCGAGGTCGGCCGCATTCCAATTCTCGTTGTGGGGGATCCCATCCAAGCCAGCGCCATTTTGTGCGACCTCAGCTCTTCTGAGAGCTCGAGGAGGAGGACCGTCCATGGCCGCTTGGTCGGCGTGGCCCGGGACGCCGCGCAGCGTTCCCCAGGTCGTCGGTCGAACCCGTAGTCCCGAGGTTCCCCCGCCAGTGAAGCCCCCCCACACCCGAGAATAGTTCTGCGCAGCGGCATCGTGCTGAGAAGCACCCGCGCGGCAATGGCCCCGTTCGGATCTTCGGCCTTGGTCCGGGCCCGTGGGAACCAGCACTTCTCCACCTCCATCGCGCGCATGGGAACCGGGCCCCTCGAGCGCTGCTACTCGGGAGCACCTCCCAGCCGCTCATCCAGCAGCGCCCTGCCTCGGCCTTCGCGCCCGAGCGGAAATCGCCCTCGATCTCGAGCGGCGCCTCGAGCATCTATGCTCTGCTGCCCAGTCGCCTGCCAGTCCACGTCAGCGCGAGCCTGACCGCCCGCGGCCAAGAGGCCCGCCTCTTGCCGGACCTGTCGACGCTGAAGGACTCAGCGCACGCGGGCACCAGGGGCGGCCAGACGAGAGCCATCGCCGCGACGCCCAGGCGCCCCAAGCCAGCCGCCATCTCACTCCTGTGGACGGCGCCGCGCTCGACCATCTCCAAGCACCAGATGGCCAATCGAGCGTCACCCACTTCCGGAAAGTATATGGCGCAGGCGGTGCAAGCGCAGTGGGGGCCGACCCAGACCAACTCGAGGCCGCCCCGCACATTGGCCCTCTGCCCCGGAAAGCCGAAACCTCCGATGAGGGCGACCCGGGAGTGGGCAGCTTGCCTCCCGCGTCCCTCCGAGCCGATCGCCATTAGGTCGTCGGCGCGGGCGAGCTGCCCCACGGGCCGGGCGCCGGGCGCGGCGCCAGACCACGTGGCCCACCACTCCGAGGCGCTGAAGACGCCGAAGGCGCCGACGGTGTTGCCGTAGATCTCGCCCTCGAACTGGCTAACCAGCATGCCTCACTCGACCGCGCGAATCTCGATGGGCCGACGCTTGCTTCTGGCGTCGGTGACGAGCGAGAAGAAGACTCCACACCGCCCCCTGCAGTAGCTCAGGATGCACAGTTATTCCCCGCTGGCATCGGCGCCCCCTCGCGGCCCGCGCATCGGGCCAAATTGCCCGCGGCGACCCCGCGCGCGCCAATGCGCGCGAGCCGCCCCTTGCCGCTCGCGCCCTCCAGGACTGCCAACACTGCTATGGAGCAGTTGCCGTGGAAGCGGCAGCGCAACTGCACCTAGAACCATGTGACCACCCTGCCCAATTACACCTCGTCCGCGAGGTGTTCCTGGAGCCAGTCGCTGCGGACCTCCACGCTGCTGTGCTCGGCCGCTTCTGGGACGGCCCATTTGGCCGCCTCCTGGGCGAGGCGCGCGGCAACGGCGCCATCACGCGCCCGCGCATGGGCCAGGCTCTCGCCCCGAAAGGTCACGTGGAGCCCCGCCGCTGCTTGCGCTCGCGCCCACCGTCGGAGGACCCTCTGGCTGGCTCGTAGACCGCATTCTTCGCCAGGGCGAGCGGCTCGCTCGGGCCGGCCCCGGCCGGGCGCGCCCGCACCGCCATCTCGCGCGGGGCGCGCCCCGCGGCTGCCCAGCCGCCCATGGCTGCACAATCCCCCCGAAGAGCTCGGGCCTCAAGTTGGGGGGCCCCCAAAAGAGATCTGGGCCCCGGAGACCAGGAAAGGGGGCCCGCGCCCTCATGGAAGCCCATCGGGCCCTCGATGCACCTGCCGCTGCGCGGCGGCCCTGCGCCCCCGAATCGGCGGGGGGGCGCCCCCTTTTCGGCTCGCCGCGCTGCGACGACGGCGCCCGCGCGGCCGTCGGCATCCAAGCTGCAACGGCCCCCGAGGGCGCTGCCGCCGAGATCCGAGGTCCGAGAGCGCCTCGACCAGGACTGGCCGCGTCGGACACCAGTCCGCGCAGGCCGCGGCGGCGACCTTCCTGCCGCGGCGATTGACGGGGAAGGGGCTGCCCCACTTGCTCGGCGGGACCTCGCCACTGCCCCCGCCGATGCAGACCTCGCCTCCGCCGAGCGGGCCGCTCTCTAATGGGGGGGGGCCTTCCTCGGCGCAGCCGGGCACCTGTCCTGCGCCGCAAGCGCGTTTACCAAACGGCCCCAGGCGCGGTTTCACCCCCCATTCCGGGCGGCGAGCCGCATGGCCAGCGCGCCGCTAGCCCCGCGCCGCCCACCCGCACAGCTGCGGGGGCCAGGCCGCGACGCGCCTGTCGTCGAGGCCGAGCAGCTCGCGCATCGCTGGCGGCTGTCGCACACTGGCGGGGCGTTGTCCGCGATGGACGCCCGCCCCGTCGCCGCCGATGTCCTCGGGCTGCTCGAGGAGGCCGGCCGCCTGCTCGCTGCCCGCCAGTTGCACCTTCAGCGCTAGGGGGGCGAAGCTGGCGAGCTGGTTGGACACTTGGCCCGTTGTTCCGCGGACCTCTGGTCCTGGGGCACTGCGTCGACCGCAACGGGCGCGGGCATCGGCGATCTGTCTGTCCGTCTCGCCCGCGGTCGTCGTGGATTCCAGGGCGGCGAGACCCCGGGCACGCCCCACTCGCCTCCCACAGTAGTAGTCCTGCCGGGCCGCGTTGGAGAGGCCAGCGCCATCCGACCTCGCCGGGTTCCACCTTTGCCAAACGCGCACGGGCGCCCGCGCGAAGGCTGCGACGTCTGTCCGACGTCTCTGCCCCAGAAAGACGTCGAGGGCCACGCCCGACTTACGGGACCGAAAACTCGGGACGCGACTGCGCGGGCGGAGGCCGAAGCACGGGCGCCGGGCCCACGGCTGTCTCGGGCGGGGTCGCCGGGCGGCCGCCGCCGCGTTCCCGGCCGCGCTGTCGCCCGACGGAGGCGGCCACTGGCCGCGCTCGGGGGGGCGGGGGCGCGCGCCCGCGAGCTTCCTCCTCCGCCCTTCGGCGCGTGGGCGACGGGAGAGGAAGTCCGTCTTCGCTGGCTCGTGGCCGACGCCCCATTCCCTCCTCGCCCCATCTCCGTCGGAATCCCCCCCGCGGGGGCGCGGCGACACATCTCGCTCTCGGCCTCGCGAGCGGCTGTCAGGATGACATTGCGATTGCGAGGTTGCGGGCCCACGGGCGTCGCGGAGGCGGCTCGCTCTGCGCGCGGACGGCGCAGGCTGCCTGAAGGTGGAACCCTGGCGTCCGTTCGCGGCCGCGCGGGGCCGCCCGGCCGGCGCCGGCCGGCGGCGGCAGCGGGGCGCGCGCCCCCCCGGCCCAGCACCTGGCCGAGGGGAGCTGCGGCTGCGCGCGGAGCAGAGAACCCTGGGAGCCGCGCCCCCGGGGCTGGACGACCCCGCGCGCCCTCGCAAGAGGGCCCGCAAGGCCGGGGACGAGGAGGAGACGCGGCGGCTTTCAACCCGGCGCGGCCCCCCTCGAGCCGAGCCTGGTCGCGCCCTGGGCCGCGCGGCGGCCAGCTCTCTCGCGGGGCCCCCGCCCCGCCGGGTCGCATGGAGCCCCGCCGATGCTGGCGCTTGACAGTCTTGCCGACGCAGCTGCAGGCCGCCGGGCACACGGGTTGCCGCAGGCGCCCTCGCTGTCGAAGAACGGGAGCAGACAGTCAAGGAGCAGAGCACGCTCTTCACGGTCCAGGATGGGACCCTCTGCGGGAGGGCGAACATGCAGAAACCAGCTTGCCCGTCCTGAGCACGGCCAGGATGACCTCCTGCTCCACAGCATCATGGCCACAGCAGACCATCTCCGCCTGCTCGGACGGCTCATGCCCCAGGGTCCGTTGAATGAAGTGGATCCTCCCGTAGCTGGCCTCCGACGCACCCCCATGACCGATAATGGCCTGGGACGGGATGACGATGACCCGATACTCATACGCGTCGGTGCCTTCCCTCCCCCACCGGAGGCCGCAGCTCTCGCTGAGGCACCTCCAGTGGCTGCCTCCCGCGATGGCGCCTCCAGGTGTTTACTGCTGCGCCTGCTCCGCATATCGCATCCACTCTTTCGGCTCGAAGGAGGGCGTCGTGCAGCGCGGGCAGACGTGCATGATGTGATTGTCGCCGCCGGGGGCACTCGTGAAGTCAGCCGCGGCTCCCAGACCCTCGTATTTCAGGATGACGCCGTAGACCTCCTCCAGGCCGACGCTCTGAACGACAGCCTGTTTCCATACTTCGCGAGCTCCGCGCGCATGGCGAGGCTGAGGGTCGTGAGTTGCTGAGGCGGGATTCCTTCTTTTGCTTGTTCGTAATCTTGTCACTCGGATCCCAAGTTCATGGTGCCAGGCCTACGCCAGCGGTTTGGCCCGCGTGTTTCTTACGGCCGCGGCACGGCTAGCACATGTAGTGGCAAGAGTTCGAAAGATCGGGGGTCATATTGACGAGCGATTGATTGACTGTGCAGTCCATGCATGGCCTTGGCGACGTGCTCCCGCGCGAAGACCGAGCCGCCGCTCTGGAAGGCAAGGGTGTCGCTACTATCGTAGACCTGGGCGAAGCTGGACCGCACTCACGCGTGCAGCACAGGCACTCGACGGGGCTGCGGACGATGACGTGGCGGCCTGAGAACCAGATGATGCCGCTTGAGTCCTTTGAAGGGGCCCCAGGACACACAAATAAATACACACGAATAGAAGGATTCCCCATATGTTGCCATATTTTCTGGGTTTTTGTCTTCCCCCCCACTTCCCATATTTTCCCATATTTTCATGGGAATCGACGATTAATTGTGTCTGTGGTTTTTTCCCTCCTGATCCTTGACCAGAACAGACAGCTTCTCCTGAGGTGACTCTCGGGTGAACCTCGCGCCACTCCCCGTCGCTTTGCATGGATGGGCGGTGAGGAAGACGGCCCCCCCGCGTGCCCGGCTGGCTCCTGCCCCGAGGAGCCGCATGGAACTCCGCTGCCGTCCGCGCCCGCCTTTCCCCTGCCACCGCTTTGACTACCTACCAGACCACCCCAACCCAACCCGAAGACCCGAATTTGACCCGAATTTCGGTTTGGGGGGGGTACGGGCACCATGTGTTTTTTCAACGCTCCCCGACCCCCCCCCCACTGGAAACGGGTTGGGGTGGTTTGGTGGGTGGTGACGCTTGCGCCGGCGTCGCCCGCCATCTGTCTGCGCGCCCACGGGGGCGACATGGGCTTCGACAGTGCAGGCGCACAGGGAACTGTGTCACTGACCGCCGCAGCGCGGCGTCGAGCGCGCACGGCCCAGCGGCTAGCTTCAGCGCCCAAGCGTTGATCTGAAACAGCCCAGCGCCTGAGCACAAAATGGCAACAGACGTCAGACGTCGGGAGGTTAAGGAGGATACCCTTACGTGTTGGTACACGGAGGCGTGTGCACGTAGATGTTTAGGTATATGTACATAGCATACGTGTGTGCGAGTGTGCAAAGTCAAGTGCAACCGCAAGTGCACACACACACAAACTATAATATAACTAAGTCTACGCTTGTGGATATATAGCACAAAAACATAAACATACCTAACACATGCGCTGGTATTCACTGTGACGGATATTGATGTTTCACTTCAACGTGAACGGAGTTCTTAGCATTGAAATCCGTGCGTCTGCCTATTCCGACTGTTTTTGCGTTCAGGCTGTCTAACTTCACCTTTGAGTCATGGGGCCTGGATGTTGGGTGCTCTGACTGTGGCTGTTCGTGGGTACCTCGAGGGCGCCCCATGTGTGGTAGCTTGTTGCTGGGCTCTCTCCAGGCAGGCGCCCGTGGGCGCCTCTAGGGCACCCTGTGCGTGGTCGTCGGTTGCTGGATACTCTCCTGGTGGGCGCCCGTGGGCGCCTCGTCGCCGCCCACGTGGCTTACACCGCCTCGCTTGCACGGCCTCGCTTACAGGACACAGTTCACACCCCATAGCAGATGCCGCAGAGCTTACACCGCAGAGCTTGCACCACGTAGCTTACCTCGCATGGAGCACACCGCATGGCTCACACAGTACTGCTTGCACAACCTAGCTTGCACCATACAGCCCACGCAGAAGAGCTTGCACCACACAGCTCACGCAAGATAGCTTACACCACGCAGCTTGCACCGCACACCTTGCATCACATACCTTACGCCACACCCACACACACACATTACACCACATACCCTACACAGCATAGTTGTCACTTACTGAATGCCATAACGCACCATTTAGCACCCACGTTGGCAACCATCCACATCCACGTCGAGACCATGTTGTATACTATGTATGAGTATTATTATATCTCTCTCTCTCTCCTTCTCGCCCACCGCGCCATCCCTACCATCATCAAGTCTCTGGTGGTAGTGAGGACGTTGTAACCGACAGCAAAGGCTGAAGCAAGACCCTGGAACACCTCACCCTGGGCACAAAGCAACGGCGCTGTCGCCTGCCAGTCTTCCTCCGCAACTCGGGGTCGTCCCTGGAGCCCCCCGTTCATGAGGCAGGCAGGCGACGCATGCTGCTGTAAGCGCACAGTGCTGAACAGAGCTCCCCCGACGGGCGCAAAGAACGGACAGCGGCGACGCACCTTTTACGGTGGGGGCACTGGATACGGATGCTTGGATCAGGAATCCAGGGTCGGGAAGCCCGTGGAACTCCAATCGCGGATCAGCAGTGGATATTGCCGCCGCCCTCATCGGATAAGGAGCCCTCCAGGGCCCGAAGCCCCCCGTGCACGCTTTTTTAAATCAATGCCCCCCCCGTACTTCTGCACGAAAAATTCCCCCGAGGTGGGCCTCTTGATGGGCCTGTTTTTTTTTGCACCACCACTACCAGAAGTTGGAGGGGGAGGAGGAGGAGGAGGAGGAGGAGGAGGAGGAGGAGGAGGAGGAGGAGGAGGAGGAAGAGGAGGAGGAGGAGGAGGACCCCCTCCCCCTCCAACTTATGGTGGTGGTGGTGGAAAACAGGCACATCACCTCTGGATCGCCCAGCATGGCCCCGGCTAGCCCGAGGATGCAGCCGAGGCGGGCCTCCGGAGGCCCCTCTGCACCCCGAGGATGCCCCCGAGAGGCCAACAGTCATCGAGCACACAAGCAGTGCCAATGATGGATACCATGGCTGCGGCAGCTTCGTGTCGTGACGACCCCGGCGTTGGCTTCTGACACCGCGTGGATATTTCATCCTCGAACGCTCGGCGACTTTCGATCGCTCGATCGTTCCACATAGGCCGATTCTGGGCCGCCCCCGGGAGGCCAAATCATCGAACACACCAGCAGTGCCAATGATGGCTACGGCAGGTTCGTGTCGTGACGACCCCGGCGTTGGTTTCTGACACCGCGTGGATCGTTCATCCTCGAACGATCGGCGACTTTCGATCGCTCGATCGTTCCATATAGGCCGATTCTGGGCCAATGGCGGCGTTCAACCTTGAACGCCCGCGGCGGGGTCGCCGCTGGTCGACACGACGCGAACTTACCGTAGGCATATGAAGCCCCAAGATGGCCCCAAGATGGCCCAAAGAGGAGCCCAAAAGGTGGGGGCCCCAAAAGACCCCAAGAGCTACCGACACAAGGCCCAAGAGGTCCCAAAAGGGGTATTCTTGGGGCTCCAGATGGGTAGCGCTAGTTTAGGGAGCAAGCGTTGATCAATGACATCCAGGGCGGCACCAGGAGGGCTCCGAAGGCTTTCAAATGGCCCGTGAATGGTGAGCTTACATTGCTTGACTGAGGTCTCATGAAAAAAAACTGTCGGACGTGTTAAATACGGGCGGTCCTTTTTCAGGGAAGATTAGTATGCATATTCTCTCCCGCAGCCGTCTTACAGTGCTTACCTTCAGCTCATGGAGTCTTGTTCAATGGCGGCTCCTCATCGCCGAGGACATCCAGTCTTGTGTCAGTGATTGCGCATAGAAACTACGAAACTTATTTCTGAGTCCCCATGTCTACTCATTGGCGACGTTGCCTTGCTGCAGGAGGCCCCGGATGCATCGGGCCCCAGGAGATCCCCAAAAAGGCGCGAACGGCAGCGAAAAGGGCCCCAAGACAGCTCCGAGATGGCCCTGGAAGGCTTCAACAAAACCTCCATATGACCCCGGGTTGGCCATTGCTGGGAGCGGTTCGGGCTGAGCCAAGCTTCGGTTCGACTACTGCCCGCCCCATGCTCTCTCCCCGAAACCAATACTCCACTTCCCTTCGCGAGCTCGAGGGCAAGTTTCTTGCTCTGTTCGCTCATTTCAAACTCCCTGCGTAGTGGTGGCGGAGGGGCCGCTCTTCTCCTTCTTTCCTCTGTCTCGTTCCCTCCTTCCGGTGAGCATTCCGCCCTCCATGCTATGGATAGTGAGCGGTCGCCGGCAGACTTCGTCGCAGAGGTCCGCGACCCCGCGCGACACCTCGCCTGGGATTCGTCGCTGGATGGGCTCGCGGGGACCCGCCGAGCGTTGACAACTGCATACCATGTGGGTGCGATTGAGGCGCGCGTGCCTCAATTTTCGGCGACAGTGGGCATTATAGGGGGGGGAGGGGCCAGGGGGGGGTATACTGTAACGCCTCCCCCCGCCGTGCGCACGGCGGCAGTGCCCGGAGCGCACTGGGGGGGAGGAGCGTTACGTTATACGGGGGGGGGAGGGGGTGCCGGGGGCTATAATGCCCTCCATAGTTGCGAACGCGTCCAGCGCCATCAGCCATGGCCCACGTGACGCAGGCCAGGGCATCCAAAGGGCCTAGGTTGCCAGGACACCCTGCGGAGGAGACGATGACGAGGTGAACGATGAGGCCGAACCATACCGACACCCACACGAGAAAGAAGGCGGCCCGAAGAAGAAGGACTTCCGTCACCGTCTCGCAAGCTTGCGGTGGGCTGCTTGACTTCAGCCTGCGCGGAGAGGGTCTCTTGGCCCCCACGCATCCCTTCCCACCCGACGTACTCGATGGCCTTTATGAAATCGTGCGTCCTGCAGTCCTCGGGGTCCGCCTCCTGCATGGGGGGGCGGCAGCGGCAGCCGTGGAGCAACCTTTTGCATAATATAGCGCGGCGACGCTGGCAACAGCAGTAATAGCAGCTCGCTTCACCAGTACGACGTCGAAGATCTGGGAAGGTATTTGCTCTGGTCCTGGGTCTGCGAGTACTCTGGGTTTCTTCACAAGCGTGGGGGGCCCCCCCCCCGACGGGGGTCAACCTCGCCTCGCCGTCTCGCCGCGACGGGGGTCGGAGCGCCTTTGGCGCGCGGTGGCTGCCCGCGACGGGGGTCGCGGCGGGGCTGTCGGCGGGGGTGCCGCCCCCCCCCCGACGCTCAGTAAGCAACTCGGAGTGAGCGGGCCAGCGCACAGCGGCGTCGTCGCAGTCGCCGGTGCCAGGTCAGCGCGGGTCACCGTGCCCACTCGGCCTCCGACGGGGCTGCCGCGGGCTCGGAGCCGTCGCCGCGGCCGCAGCCCTCGGGGGACGCATCCCCTGGCTGTGGGCCCTTGCGTCGGGCCTGCGGCTGCCGAGCCCTCGGCCCCGAGGGGCCCCCAGGAGGCGCCAGGGAGGCCCCCAAGAGGCGCCCCAGGAGGCCCCCAAGAGGCCCCCAGGAGGCCCCCAAGAGGCACCCCAAGAGGCCCCCAAGAGGCCCCAGAACTGCCCCCAAGAGACCCCCGAGACCGCTCCGAGGAGACCCCACAGAAGGCAAGACGAAAGCGGAGTGACAGCTAGAAGCTAGAAGCCGAGCCGAAGCCGAAGCCGAACGCGAATGCTGACCTGACGCTGGGCTGCAGCGAGCAGGCCTGGGACTAAGCCAAGCCAACACTGGAGCTCAAGGATAAAGCGGCAGCTAAAGCTGCATCTACGACTAGAGTTAGGGCGATGGCGACAAGTGGAGCTATGTCCGCAGCTGGAGCTAGAGCTAAATGTGAACCTCCGAGGAAAACGAACAAGAACGTAACAGCGAAACTATGGCATGAAAAGGAAATCGCTCGAGCTTGGCGAGGCGACGCCAGGCTGGGATCAGAGTATCAAACTGGGCCGAGCAAAGTCCAGCTAACGTCTGCAAAGCTGCGGTGTGCTGAGCTGAAACATGCTAAACCGAAAAGATATGAACTCAAGCTACGGCTACAGCAAGAAGCCACGACTGCAAGCGGATGAGATTCCCCAAACAGGGCTTGCAGTTCAAAGTGGTTCTTACTTTGCTTTGATCGGAGAGACGTAAGACTCGGGTACGTGGGACTCGGGTTGGCCTGACGCGGGCGGCCCGCATGAAAATGACGAAAACCAGCCTGAAATTTGGCGCGAACTCCCGCTGCAAACATCTCGCGAAAACTGGACTCTTAAAGTTCGGGACGGGCTCGTCAAGAAGCGGCGGCAAGCCCGAGTTCCGGCGCACTCGAGTCTTACGCTTCCCCGATTTGAAGGCATGGGGCTCTTCCTCGGGAAACAAAACATGACATAAACATAAAAACCTCGGAGGTCCGCGCGGATTTCTCGGATCGGCGCTGGACCCCCCCTCCCTGGCACCCGGAGCGCGCCAGGGGCGGCCAGAGGCGCCGCTGGGGGGCCCCAGTGCCGACCCGAGGAACCCGCGCGGACCTCCGAGGTTTTATGTTTGTCTAACTGTTCGTCCCCACTGAAGGGGCCCTGGGACACACAAATAGATATACACAAATAAACAGATGCCCCAGATGTTCCCATGTTTTATGTGTTTTTGTCTTCCCCTTCCCATATTTTCCCATCTAATCTGGGGAGTCGACGATTAATTGTGTCTGTGTGTTTCTTTCCTTCCTGAATGTTATGGAACTTCATGTCACTTCTGTAGCTTGCGATAGAAACTTCGTGTGCCTTTTTGTCCCCACTTTCTGTTTATGCAATTTGAAGGAATTCGGCTCTTCTGCCGCCACCGCCGGCTTGTTCTCGCCGCTCGTCGCCGCCCGTCGCCGCCTCGACCAGGCTGGTGTCGCCGCCCCCGCCGCCCCGGTCCTCGCCCCTGTCGCCGCCCTGGTCGCCGCTCGTTTCGCCGCCCGCCGCCGCGGCGCCCCCTGGTCGTCGCCCGTGTCGCCGCCGTCGACGCCGCATGGTGGTCGCAGGCTTGCTTGTGCGAGCCTCACACGCAGTCCTTGCTATAATCGGGGACGTCCAAGAGTAAACAAGCACACCCACGACTCGCACGGTACTCTGGATTCCATGTTAAGGGGGGGGGGGGGGGGGACATTTGGGGGGGGTCTGACTTGAGCTGTCTTGGAGGGTTCGGGGGGGTCTGGGCACAGGGACGCCCTTTCATGGATGGTCTGGGGGGGGTCTAAAGCTTCTCGTCTGGGAGGGTTGTGACCCCCTCCCTTTGATTACGAAACCTGGAGCAACTACTCGCAAATGGCCTGGCTCCCTTGCGGTGGATTCACGATCCATTATACGTCGAGGCAAGCATGTGCGTTTTCGGACGCTTGCTAGTGGGCACTTTGCAGGTAGTGGAACGCGCTCGGTGGGAGAGGGGGGAGGGGGCCATGAGGGGGGGGCGCAAATCATGGCTGGCGGCGCGTGCGCGGCCCAGAGTGGGGGGGGGACATAATAGAACAAGAAGAGGCGCCATGGAATCTTGGGAGGTATTATGGCTCCCGCCATGATATCCAACCCTCCCTGGTCATCCCCCCCCTCTTGGCCGCCCCCGATATAAGAGAATTGCGATCTGCCCCCCTCCCAGGATTATCCGTACGGCCCCGCGTGCCGCCTTGCAAATAAAACTATGCGCGGAAACCGTTTCATCCCAAAATCATCCATTTTCAGAGGCCCCTTGCAAAAACAGACGAAGTCCACACGCGCGCGCGTCGTCGCGCGCGCATGCCGACATCCAAAAATTACGCTGGCGAAGAAGCCCAACCATATGCAACTGTGAGTAACGCCGCTGTGGGTACCGTCTTCGGTGAATTTCTGCATGGGGCCCCGAAGCGGTCAAAGTGTGTTCCGACATGGGGCAGGGACGCATGCGGGCACAGCTATTGGGGCCTTCGGTACAGCTCCATGTGGGGCCACGAGACGTGTGAGGGGAGTACCGAAATTGAACGGGCCCGCCGTGCGAACCATGTCACTGGTGCCTTCGGTGGAGCTCCCTATGGGGTCACGAAACGCTGTACTGAATGGGGGAGACGCGTGCGGGCACCGCCACGGGGGCCTTCGATGAAGCTCCCCACGTGACCACGGAAAGCTGTAATGGGTGGGGGGGGCGCATGCCTACACCGTGACTGGGGCCGTCGATGAAGCTCCCTACGGGACCACGAAATGTTTTACTGGGTGGGAGAGGCGTATGCGGACACCGCCACTGGGGCCTTCGGTGGAGCCCCTTATGGGGTCACGAAACGCTGCACTGGGTGGGGGAAACGCATGCGGACACCGCCACTGGGGCCTTCGGTGGAGTTCCCTGTGGGGCCACGGAACGCTGCGCTGGGTTGGGGAAACGCATGCGGACACAGCCAGTGGGGCCTTCGGTGGAGCTTCCTGTGGGGCAACGCGGACAAAGCCACTGGGGCCTCGGTGAGCTCCATACGGGGCCACGAAACGCTGTACTGTGTGGGGGGGACGCATGCGGACACCGCCACTTGGGCCTTCGGTGGGTCTCCGTATGGGGCCACGAGACGCTGCACTGGGTGGGACTCAGCACTGGGTGGGGGCAACGCATGCGGACACCGCCACTGGAGCCTTCGGTGGAGCTCCCCATGGGGTAGCGAAATGTTATCGGATGGGAAGCGCATGCGGGTACCGCCACTGGGGTCTTCGGTGGGGCCCCCTATGGAGCCACAAAAAGCTCTACTGGGTGGGGGTGACGCATACGGGCAGGGCCACTGGTGCCTTCGGTTGAATTCCTTATGGGGCAACGGAACGGTGTACTGGGTGGGGGTGACACATGCGGGCGGTGCCATTGAGGCTTTCGGTGAAGCTCCCTACGGGGCCACGAAGCGCTGTACTGGGCTGGGGTGACGCATGCGGGCGGTGCCACTGAGGCGTTCGGTGGAGATTCCTCATGGGGCCACGAAGCGCTGCACTGGTAGGGGTGACGCATACGGGCGTGGCCACTGGGGCCTTCGGTGGAACCCCTTTATGGGGCCACGAAACGCTGCACTGGGTGGGGGAAACGCATGCGGACAGCGACCTTGGGGCCTTCGGTGGAGCTCCCGTATGGCACTGGGACCTTCGCGGTGGGTCTCCGTATGGGGCCACGAGACGCTGCACTGGGTAGAGGAAGCACATGCGGACACCGCCACCGGGGCCTTCGGTGGAGCTCCCTACGGGGCCACGAAACGCGTGACGGATGATATGCAGGGAGCAGAGGAACGGGTGCTGATGATGATGACGCTGATGACGATGACGATGACAGAAAACAATGCGATGACGATAATAATGAAAATGATGATGATGCTATTGATGCTGATGCTGATGCTGATGATGATGAATGATGGTGGTGATGATGATGACCATGATGAAGATGATAATGATGATGATGATGATGATGATGATGATGATGATGATCATGATGATCATGATGACGATGATGATGATGATGGTGATTATGATGATGATGAAGAAGATGATGGGAGGGGAGGATGGAGAGGAGGAGGAGGAGGAGGAGGAGGAGGGGAAGGAGGGGAACGTCAATGATGATGATGATGATGATGATGATAATGATGATGATGATGATGATGATGATGATGATGATGATGATGATGATGATGATGATGATGATGATGATGATGATGATGATGATGATGATGATGATGACGAGTATGCTGATGATGATGGTGGTGGTGATGCTGATGGAGAAGGAGGGAGGAGGGGGAGGAGGAAGAGAGGAAGGAGTGACGCGGGGCGCTGCCGTTTCAAAACGAGGGCCTAACACCACAGGGTGGTTGAAGATGTCACAGTAAAGCTCCCCGAAAACATATGAAACCCAACGTGTTTGCAACCTGGCTGCCCACGCAAACCCTCATGTTTTTTTCCATCGCCATCAAATGGGACCCAGCGGGCCTCTCGCGCGCGCATGTCGAAATCATTCGAAAGCCTCTGCGCGCGTGCTGGGGGGGGGCACGATCCCTGTCAATTAACACCATGCGTGCCACTCGCGCGCGTCGGTCGCGCGCACATGTCGAAATCCTTCTAAAGCCTTCGTCCTCGGCACGTCGACACCATCAACGCTATCGGCGTGATCAGCATTGGCGCCGTCATTGGCCTTGCTGTCGTCATCGTCACCGTCGTCACCAGCATCGCGATTATCATCGTTGTGTCTGCCGTTGTCGACGTCGCCATGATACCGCGCCCGCCCGAGTCATCGACTAGCACTCGCGTCAGCGGGGCCTGCGAGACGCGCTGGGAAGTCCCCAGCGGTCAGCGCCACCGCGGCCGCGTCGCTCGCACCAAACTAGCTGGTCGCTCTGCTAGCGAGCCTGCGCGCGCAAGTGCGGCCGCAGCAATGAGCCAGCCAGCGCCAAGCAGTCATCGCAATCGCCACCGCAGGGGTTTTGCAGACCAAGTTGTGGGTGGGTGGGTGGGATTGTTGCACCACATAGACTGCACCACATAGGTTGTTACACCACCGATAATGCATCACATGGGTTCCACCGCACATATTGCCCAATGCTTGACATCGATTGC